TCGGTCTGAAGTGGTGTAGGGTTTCCTGCCTGGGCAGGGGGTTGGACTAGAAGACCTCCAAGGTCCCTTCCAACTCTGTTATTCTATTCTAGTCAATCCGATTATGCTTTAATAACTATCCCAGTTAAAAAAAAAGAACGGAGCAATAATTCTCATCCTTTGGCAACTTTACGATATGTGGATTTCAACTCCCAGAATTCCTCAGCCAGCCATGTTAACTGAACAAGGCCAGATAATCTTAACATCAATTTTCCTTCTAAACATGCCTATATAATCAAGAACATTATTAACATACCACAGTCCTGGAAATAATTTTTAATTCCAGCGGATCTATTGTATACAGAATGCATTTGGCGGGGGGGGGGGATATATAATTTACAAGCAGTTTCATCTGAGGAAGCCCATCAAAGAAATGGAAATAGCCAGGGGTGGGATTCTCCCGGTTCGCACCTATTCGCTAGAACCGGTTGTTAACATTCTAAGCAGTTCGGAGAACCGGTTGTTAGAAGAAATTACTGGCCTAATCCTGTAAGGAAGGCAGGAAGGAAACATTCTGGTGTTGCTTACAGAAACTGCCCCTCCATTAACCCTTATTACATTCTTAGCAGGACTAGACTTCCCGTCTCAAGAACTTCTCTGGAGTTTTTTTCCCCTCCTTTGCTGGTACTTTGCTTGTGTGGAGTGACCAAAGTTACAATGGCACTGAAAAAAGTGACTTATGACCATTTTTTCACACTTACGACTGTTGCAGCATCCCCACAGTCATGAGAGGCTAGGCGAGGAGATGCATGCCTCGATGTGAGTGAGGTTGAGTTGGCCACGCCCAGCCAGTCACATGACCACAAAGCCATACCCACCAACTAAGCCATGCCCACAGAACCGATTGTTAAAAAATTTGAATTCCACCCCTGGAAATAACTGAAGATAAATTTCAGTTGTTCAGTTCCCCATGCTCGCTGGGGAATTCTGGGAGTTGAAGTCCACACTGGTTAGGGAATTCTGGGGGTTGATGTCCATACATTTTAAAGTTGGCAAGGTTGAAAAACATTGGAGTAGAGTTTCGTGATATCAATCAATCAATAAATAAAATTCAGAACAGTTGTCAATGAATGATTTTCTATGTTCTTAAGAAGTAAATGAAATATCCTGAAACAGGATAAGAGTCATTCTCTTATGGGTATAACATTACAGCCCTATCTTGGCTTGTCCTTGCTTTAATAAGCCAACATTCTGAGCCATTCAGGTATAATACTAGTGAATACTAGTCTTCCTGGTTTCTATGCATGTATTCATTTTGGCACTGTAGGATATATGGACTTCAACTCCCAGAATTCATTTCCCACACTGACTGAGGAATCCTGGGAGTTGAAGTCCATACATCTTAAAAGTGCCAAGGTTGGGAAACATTGCATTAGCAGTATATCAAACAAATATAATCTAGTTTACTGGTTCTAATTAGGGCAGAATTATGGTAATTTAGCTTATCTTTGTGACTGAATTATGCCTAGAGAATACAGAATATCCATAAATTGGCACCACTTCTATAAATTTCTAATTTATAGCTGAATAATTTAGCACATAATATAAATTGACTTTGCAAAGTAGGAAAAAATCCCACAGTTCTACCGGGATATGGTTTAATTGTAAGCAGAGGTACAGTACCTAAAGTAAAAAAATCAGTGTTAAAAAACCCAATTTGCAAGAAAACAAGTCAAACAATCAAACTGGGGAAATCAATTTCTTTTCCTGGCATTTGGTATGTTTCCAGTTAAAGCAAAGGTGCAGATCTTGCCATTCAGAGCACGAAAACCTACTTGCAATTGAGAAGCAGCCCAAATATTAACAATTGATCCTCAGAAATTGTTATCAGTCTCCCTTGGCAAATGACAGAGAAGTTAGGATACAGAAGAGTTTATCAGGATTGCCTTCCACTAGTTCTTCTCTAAAAAGCCAAATTCTGCAGCTGCGTTTTAATAAACATTATGAAATGGCGTCTTATTTTGCCAAAACGGCTCTTCCCCAGTGTCTTGCTAGCAATTATACAAAAGCAAGACAAAGAAATAAAAGGTTTGTCACACACCTTTCAGTATTATGCGCCATCTTTTGGCGGCTCTACGTCAAAAATTAACGATGGACCCCAATAAAAGATGAATTTAGGTTCTTTTTTTTAAAAAAAATATGTGAATAGCGGCCGGACTATTTTGCATAATTTATTCAGCTTCTATAGAAGAAGAACAAGTTCTTCTGCAGTGGCGCTGAGAACTCGCTTCCTGGGCACTAAAATTATCTTAATCTGCTATTCTGGTCTCTTACGATGTCACAGCATATGGCTGCCACCCACGGGTTGTTTTCCCCAGGCGCTCTGTAAACCTTATGGACTAGAAGCTTGCAAAGTGCTGAGAGGAGAAAGCCCACCCTGCAGAATTTCAGATTTGTGAAACACAATCACAACACTGCAAAATTTAGATTGTCTACCAGGGAACTCAAAATATTGGCATAGGGAATTATTTATTGTCATTTTGTTAAAAGCTTTACAAAAGCAGGATACGCATTTATTTCAGGGAACTACAGTGGATGAAAGTGATCAGGGAGAAATGAAGGAATCAAGCTTAGATAGGTGCTTGTTCTAAAAATAAAAATAAACTCTACTCTCTTCCGGCTAAGATGGTACAGGACTTTTCTCACTATCCTGAATTTAAGCTTCATAAAAAGCAGAGAAAAGATTACACGCACCAGGAAGTCTAATACTAAAGTTGCAAATACTACCTTAAACCTTTAGAAGAGAATATCTGTAGCTTGTAATTATCTGTGAGGTCCTTGGTGCTCTCTGAGCTTGGTTGTTTTCTTGGAGACGTTACATTACCCAACTAAGTTACATCATCAGGTATGTTGGATAACTGATGATGTAACCTAGATGAAACATTTGCAAGCAAACAACCAAGCATCAAGAACTTTACATTTAAGCTTTTGTTTTGGCTTTAGCCTAGCGCATTACTTTCTCAGACCAACCCTCCTTACAGGGTTGTTGTTTGTGGGGAAAAGAGGAGGAGGAGGAAGGTGTGTTGGATATGTTTGCCTCTTTGAGTTATTTGTAAAAATAATAAAGGTGGGATACAAATACATAAATAAAATCAATGCAATTATCTTGTGGATTCCTTGGTGCTCTCTGAGCTTGGTTGTTTTCTTGCAGACATTTCATTACCAAACTAGGTAACATCATCAGTGCCAGCAGCACTTACCATGACTTTGGCAGTGAAATATCTGCAAGAAAACAATCGAGCTTAGAGAGCGTCAAAAAACCCACAATTTAAAACTGAGATACAAATATTCCCTTCTATGTAGATGTCTTGGCTTATAAACCATGATTTGTGGCTAAGTGTGGCTCAGAGGAAGACGTGGATGACTAGATAATGGATCGTCTACAGTTGCAAGTGCAAGGGGGGCATTCACATTAAACCTTTAGTTTAGTTTTGGCTTCATGTGTTAAGTGAATACAGCCATCTTGGTTTGTAGACCACAGCTCATGGTTTAGCAATTGGGGTTTTAGTCAATGGTGACTTAGTCAAATCACGGTTTAGGGTGTTGTGTGAACTCAGATGATGATATGGAAGATGGAATCTGGATCAACTACAGTATAATGAAACCCATTTCTGAGGGACCATGTTTACAAATATATGCATAATTTATATATATTTCTAAGGATAACAAAAATACGTATCTAGAGATTGAGCTTTTTTAAAAAATAAAGGAATGTCTGTCATCTTTTGCAGGTCCATGTTGTTTTACTACCCGTAGTAGTTTTCCTGAACAACTACATAGAGAAATTAGCTAGATGTAGTAGCATCAACACCACCTTTAACAGAAGAAACTGTTCTGACCCCCGCCTTCCATGAATGAGCTGGCTTAATTTAAATTTTAAAAAACAGATATGGCCCAATTCAAATGAAGCCACAACCCTTAATTGTCCTTGGCTGATCTTGGGAGCTAAACAAGAGCTGACCAAGGTTAGTCTTTGGAAAAGAGGCTCCAGAAATCCCAGAGCTGAAAAATAGATTAAAAAGATGAGGAAAAATTGGCCAACTCCTTCAACATCCAGGAAACTGTGTTAGGAGTTGAGTTTCTCTAGAGGATGGCTTATCTTTCCTTTATTTATAGTATCTGATGTGGCTACTACACATTGCGGTGGGCAGCTGTGAAGCCACCTGCTGTGAAAAAAAAAAGCCACCTCCTCATTTTTTACACAGATCCTGAGAGGTTTTCTGCACCCAAAATGAATTTCTGTTTTCAATCTGGGGAGTCAGTAGGAAAAATTGTACCCCTTGTAGTTACTGTCTTAACAGGAGGAGCTGGTTGGTTTAGTCCTATCCAATACGGAGGATATTTGTACACAAGCAGACGACTTAGAACCAGCAATGCAAATATTATCAGGATAAAGAGAGGAGTTGCCACAACCGGGGTAACAAAGAAAATTGCTCTGCTAGGAAGTACAGTGGAAATTTTCTTCCAAGTCTTTTTTTCTATGGTAGTTGGCTTCTCTCAACTATGAAAGGGAAGGGAGGGAGGGAGGGAGGGAGGAATTTGGGAACAAAGGAGATGGGAAGAAGGAAGAGAGGAAAGGGAAAGAAGGAAGGAAGGAGAAGAGAGGGAGGGAGGAAATGGGAAGAAGGAAGGAGAGGGAAAGAGGGAGGGAGGAAGGAATTGGAAAGAATGGAGATGAGAAAGAAGGAGTGGGAAAGGAGGAAGGAGAGAAGGGAGAAGGAAGAAAGGAGAGGGAAAGAAGGAAGGAAGGAGAGAAGGGAGGGAGGGAAAGGATTAGGAAGAAGGAAGATGGGGAAAAGGAAGGAAGGAGAGGAAAAGGAAGGAAAGAAGAGAGAAGGAAGAAAGGAAGGAGAGAGGGGAGAAGGGAAGGAGAGACAGGATAAGGGAGAGAGGGAGGGGAGGAAGGGCCTATGTGAAGGTCAGAAGGAGAAAGACCCAAAGAAGCCCCCTCCTCCTCTTACCTCTGCGGCTTCCTTCTCGAATTTCTCGATGGTCCGCTTGTCGATGCCCCCGCACTTGTAGATGAGGTGGCCGGTGGTGGTGGACTTGCCAGAGTCTACATGTCCAATGACCACAATATTGATGTGGGTCTTTTCCTTCCCCATGTTTCCTCCTTTGGCAGAGGCCTGGGCTTACAGGGGGCGGGCAGGGGAGGGGGCTGATTTTAGCTAAAAAGGGTGGAAAAAAACAGAGCAGCGGCTGGCGAGGAAAGGCTGTGTGCAAAGAAAAGAGGAGGAGATCAGGAGGGTTGTTGTCAGGAGCAACAAGAACACAACACAGAGCCACATAACACCATCCTACCCAGCCTTGGGTTCCACAGGCCAACAAAACCCTTGTCCACCTGTGTGTGTGTGTGTGTGTGTGTGTGTGTGTGTGTGTGTGTGTGTTATAATAACATTAAGCCTCTTCTTTAGGCATGAGATTTATTGCCTGAGAAATTTCAGATCCAGATTTTGAGGGTTATCAAATTTTTCCTGCTTTCGTGACACAGGGACCCTTTATTTCCTACCTCCTCCTCGACTGTCAGTATTTCACCTTCCAAATTAATTGTTTAAATGCATTGAAAATATAAGCAACTGCTTACAGAATATGAATTGCCAACTGAGGGCAGGGGCTGTTTGTATGAACCACATTGCAGAAAGTGAAAAGATAAAACAAGAGCTTTTAAGATGAGAATATGTGTGTGTGTGTGTGTGTGTGTGTGTGTGTATATACACATACATACATACATACATATATATATACCGTGTTTCTCACATAATAAGGCCGGGTCTTATTTTTTTTTGAGCCCCGAAAAAATGGCTATGTCGTATTTTCGGGGGTGACTTAATTCCCCCCCCTTGCATCTTCGGGTGGGCGGGTGGCGACAGCTTGGATGTTGACCTCGGCGTTGGTGGGGCACTTCGTATCGGGGTCAACACAGGCAGCACCATATCCGGCTGTGCAACAAAAGTACTTCCTAACGACAAGCCCCCCCACCATTTCCTCCCATTTCGCATGTTTTAATATAGGCCTTAATTTGGGGGGAGGGGCTTAATTTCATTTCATGCCTATAAAACATGCTGGGACTTCCTATTAGGGGAGGCCATATTGTTGGAGAAACAGGGTATATATATATATATATAAAATGTGTCGAGACAATTTTAAAAACAGAAAATATCAGGAGGTTTAAACTGTGCAATTTAAGCAAAAGAGGTCAAAAAAATGCAATAAAAAAGTGGCAACAACTTATTTTATATGATGATGAAGATCTAATTTTCCAAGCTTAATACTAAATCCTTAATACTAGTATCTTGTGGTTTATTATTATGAATATTGAGAGACAAAGAAAAAGACCTCTCGTGATTCAGCTCAAAGCAAGGAA